CATTATATCTTTTTGTAAAAAAAATTACATAACATAGCATATACACTGATGATATTCAGTTGTACACGACATGAAGTCAGGAGGACAGGTTCCAGTAAATATCAGAGTCTTGTCTGTCTGGAAATATCTTATGAAAAGTCAACACTTACACAGTGGCGTAAACTATAAGTCTTAAAAAGGGAGGGGGGTGCTAATGGAGGTCGGAGGTGGACGAAGTGAAGTGGGGGAAGGATCGATAATCAGTTGAGGGCGCTAATTCACAAAATAAGGGGATTTTAGGTGATTTTTAACTACTTGCAAGTGATTTTTTAGATGCGACTGGGGGAGGCGAGTAATTTTTTTGGAGGGGCGTGGTCCCCCATCCCGTGCATCCCCTCTAGATACACCACTGCACTTACACTTAATAATGCATTTACACTACTGAGTGTGGAAGGTACATTTTTACCGTTTTTGATTGCACGTTCATTACGGATGTCAGAGATTAATAACGTGATTAGTACCGTATACTGTAACCTTGTTAAATAGACCATGGAGGTATTATTGATAATAATACCTCATTAAAAGATTGTAAGAATAAAAGTGAAATCAGAAATGCATTTTAATCTAAAGATGACAGCTGATGTTAAAATTATATAGGCTTACTGAAGTAACCCCTTTCCCATCTCCCCCCCCCCCACCAAAAAAAAACCCAAACCCAAACACATCTCCCCCCCCCCCACCAAAAAAAAACCTAAACCAATACAAAATCATAAAGAAAATTAGAGAAGTCACTCCATAGAATGCATACTTCCAACCTGTACCTAAATACACAATACACATGCCGTGTATCATACACATGAAGGTCGACACTACAGCCTAATGAAAATAATGGAATCGCCCGTCGTATTCAGGCACATTAGCCGTATTTGACTGGTTTATTTCGTTGAAAAACGATCTTTCAATGAGTATTATTTTCATTCGACTGGTTCGTGAAATAGACTTCGTTGGCAATGGAATTTAACGTAAACCAGAGTGGATTAATTTGCAATAAGTTATATACATGACTAAAACAAGATGGGTGATTGGTCAGTTTACAGTAATAACATTTGCAATAAAATAATTTAGATTAAACTTCAGAAAACAATAATTATATTATAATAAACCTATGGTCCATGTTGATCATCTTCGATGAAGTTTTACTAAAGGACGAAAAACTATTGAATAACTATGGCTTCTCTTACGTGGATATATTGCATAATATTTACTCACTACTCTAGCTCTGATAAAATAAGGTGGGGGGGGGGGCGAAAAACGAAGAAGCAAACAACATGACGATATCTGCTGTAAGCGACTCATCTAATTACTTTTTTTTGTATTTTTTGATCGATAAGATAGACTGTCAATTTTTAATCATCTCAGAGCAACTTGTCAAGGTGATAAAATTTATGAATATAATTAAGAGTTTCATCGGATGTAGTGTGAAGAAATCAGAGGGCCATAATGGCATATAAAATATAATTTTTGATGTCATCCAGCTATGTCACAGAAATTTCTCCACTCATTAAATCACCTTTAAAATAATTTAAAAGAAACGGTTGATGCAAACTACAATTAATAAAATCAAATGAAAGAATACAATCAACTGTTCTGATGTTAAATATACTCGAACAAAATGTGTCATGTATAGACTCAAGCGGTATGAACCATTTATACCTCAAACCTAATAATATTATAGATATCTCCTTTTCTAAATTCTGGATACGCAATTGAGTCACCATGTATATTCGTGTAACTCTATTATTGGGCCTCTTCGACGAACTCTTTTAGTAACCAGAATTAAAAAAAATATAATATTTAGCCGGATTGACCATTAGTAACCCTCTAATCAGTAGACATTTCATAATTCGTATGAACCAATGAACAACTCGAATTCCTTCATAGCATACATATACAAATTATAGCGTATAAAGTTTCAGCACAATAAAATATAAACCTGTCCGTTGTTGACACAATCGTCCGTAAATGTACTTGTCCTGTCGTAGAATCTAGGACTACTCCTGTTTTAATAATGGTGATGATATTTGTGTTATTCAATCCTTAATGGATGGTTGTGCTCATTATATTAAAGATACCCCTAGGGTATAGCTATAATTTATAAAATACATATTTTGGCAGTACGACTTTCCACTGATTATCGCTGTATAAATTATTAATACCGATGCGAAGAGGCAGTTATATCAACTACGCAATCTCAATGAAATATTGACTAATTAGAATCCTTAATTATTCATAATGAATGTACGTGTAATTTCTAGAAATTGAATCACGAACCAATTTGCATTTTTCATTAAATATTGATATCAGCATTATCCCGCTGTCAAAATGCTAACGTCGCACATTTCGTCATGCATAACTTATTAACACCGTTACAGGTGTCACTCTCAAATGTAATAACGCAATACAAATTAACATAGGCCTATTCAATAGGCCCATATGTAGGCCTATATTAAAATTTGTTATAAATGTTATAACAAATTTTGCTACGTACCGATACTCAAAATGGAATATTGCACTACTGGTATCCCTGATAGACTTATTTGACAGACTACATGCGCACTCATACGCACTAACTGGCATACTACCCTGAATGGCGCCAGCAGGGAGACTGGAGAGATTGACTGTTAACTAGTGCGCATGCGTTATGATGTGTGGCGGGGAAGGGGAGTTTTGACGGACGCAATTAATAATGCTTTAATGAAAATTTAAACTATGAAGCGCGGTTGAAGAGCTGAATGTTTGTAATAAGTCTTTTCAAACACAAATAATTTTAATGATGATGATGATGATGATGATGATGATGATGATGATGATGAGGATGCTATGGTTATATCTGAAGTTTCGCCGAGGCGTTAAGAATCAATATATAGATAGGTTTTAAATGAGTTTTTAAAAACCACATCTGGTTGTTGCTACAATTTAAAGTAAAGATATGTTATTTATTATTATGATTATCGTAATTATATGAATTATAATTATTATAATCATCATTTATTATTCTTCCCATTATTATTGATATTTGCCACTTATAATCATCACTGACGTCATCATCGCAATCTACTCGATCCGTCGCTATCACTCTGCCCCTATTGCTGAGCACTGTCGTCTTGCTTAAAAAATAATAAAAGTAATGTACATCAAAAGAACAAATTTTCTACCAGGCCTACTATTCTTTCAGCTAGACTACTTGGCTTGCCAGCGTTAACAAATCAACACACGTACTCTACTTTCAAAACCATTGTTTCGATAATGTTTACACTTTGCTTGAATAGACATAGGGAGACATTATGATCGAGTAGAATCTCGACTGAGAAAGCAGTAATACCGCGAGTTACACTAGATCGCAGCCTTGGGCATATCATTTTGCTATTATACCTTCATTATTATTTTTATCCTGCTGTAATTAATGCTTAAATGTAAAATTAAACACTGTGGTTCACTGAGGTTGACTCCTCACCAACGGGTACTCCATCGCAGCCCGCACAACGCTTCGCAGTGATACGATGAACAATGACGTCATCAGATCTCATATTTGTCATTCCAGGAGAGTGTCAAAGAAAAAGGTTAAAGGCATCAAATGTAATTTCGCGATGATATTATGGTTGGAAAGAAATTGTAAGCTCATAGTATGTTTAGGCCTACTATACACATTTCTTAATGGCCAGGCCCATCGAATTGCATTTTCAATCTCATTTCAAACAGTGTAATAAAATCTCGAAATTGGTGAATGAACCATACCGGCCCCATCATACGTATGGTCGCTCGTAGTGAAAGTTAGCCGCCAGCCTCTACAATATCTTCATTTGTCAATGCAGAAGTCATACAGAGAAATTCAAATATTACAATTATTTTAGTAAATTACGCCTTTACTTTGACAACGACTTACTAAATATAGGCCTAAAGCAATTCAAATATGGAATAAGAATTTTATTTCCTTTCCATGACTGATAGTACATCTTCAAAATTTAAGATGAGATGTTTTCATTATTGCTGTTTCTATTATTTTTTTTAGTTTTCATCTTTTTTTCAGGTATGATACATAGGCCGTTTATATCTTTGAATCTCCGTGAAATGTATCAAATTTACTATTTAAATTTCCGTTTATGCAGGTGCAGATCCACCGCGTTTTACCACTAGATTTTTACCACTACATACCAATGCTATGTATTGAAATGAGAAAAAAAAATAGAATGCAATACACAATGTTTCAATAGGGCCTAGTATCCGGGATCCCTTTAGTTATATCACTGTCGCTAGACCTGCTCACTTACTGTACCTTCTTATGATTATTTGGTGTCCCCTTCCCCACCCCAACCCTGTTTGAAAAAAATTCTGGATCTGCCCTGGATCATGTGCGCAGTATTGGAATCAGAATGGAATACGTTGTTGTTTTCGGTATTCATCAGATCTTTCTTAAGTATTCTACACGTATAATATCCAGGGGCGGATCCAGAGATGCCCACGGGGGGTGGGGGAAAGGAGGTCCAAAAGTTAGCCCGATCGAGGCAACACTATGCTAGGGGGTCCGACATTTTTGTGTTCTAGATGCCCGACAATAACATTTGAGGCGTTCTGGGCTATCATTTTTTCTTTCTTATTTTTACCACCCAAAAGGGGGAAGGGAGGAGCCAGGCCGCCCCCCCCCCCACGACTAAATCCACCCCTGGTATCTCCTCAAACACGTGTGATATTGAAACATGAGTCTACAAATGCTTTGTCTTTTAATGTGCAGTTATGGATTTTTTTGACCCAGGGATATTTGCGACATTTGTCACACACATGACATGGGAAGACCAAGCGATATTCGACATTAAATGGCGTTAAATATTACCAGATTAAAAATATATAGGCTAAGCTCAATGTTGATTGCTTTTCATTGGCTTAAATATCCATGCTTAATCATATCACTGAAGCCTACTGCAGTATTTATCGGTTGTCATTTCGCGAATTTATATTTCCGCGGACGCACTGAAGTGTCACTGTAGCAGATTGCCGACATTATATGTTCACGACTGGCATCGTAATTTAATGTAAGTTCGTTGCCAAGGATACCTATAGTGGGCCTCTAGTCAAACGGGGACATTAAGCTACGATTGCGGACAACGCAAAGAAGACGGTTATTATCGCGGAGTTGCTTTTTCTGTAGGTATACTAGCACACTGCAGGCCTACGTGCTTATAGCCTTTTCGCGATGAACGAGGACACTCACATGAATTCGCCAAAGGTGCCTTGTGTTGACTGGTCAGAATCACGGTCTTCCCTATTCCATTTAGGATGTTTTTTTCTTACTGCAGGCTACTTAACTATCCCGAATTTAGGCCTTGCCAGGGCACTGTGGCTCCGAGTATGCCTAGTACTTGGTGTGTTTTGCTTCGTCCTCTGGGGAGCAGCGGTGCGTTGTTGGCCCGATTTGTTCGCCTGGAACTTAGTTGGATTCGTAATAAATATATTACAACTGGCATATTTGATATTTTTAACCAGACCTATCAAACTAGACGAAGATATTTTGCAACTGCATGAAAAATTCTTTAAACCTTTCCAGATTTCGATTCAAAAATTTAAACGAATGTTAGATTACTATGGTGAACTTTACGAGCTTGATGCAAGTGGTCATTATGCAATTGAAGGCAAAACTAAAGCGGGAAACAAAATTGCAATTTTATCGTCTGGCAGGTAAGAAATTGAAATCCAATTAATAATGGATCATACGTACGTTAGTGAGATTTACGTTACGAAATGATTAACTGTTTCATATAGTGGCGGCCGAGCCGGTCTGCCCCAACCCCATAAATTTTTCAATATTATTTTTTTTTTAATAGAGAATAATAATAATAGGCCTAATAAAAAAAATTATAATTAAAATTAGGTTTGAGGTGCCAAAGTCACAAATTTTCTTACCTCAGCCCCAACTAAAGTGGTGTAGACCCGCCGTCTATGAAATCCCTTCGTGGGGGCCCCTCTATTTCGAAATCGTGGATCCGCTACGTATTACTTTAGAGTTGGCGCAATCCAATCAAGGGTTTAGGATTTCATGCTTTTTTTGCGTCCAGGAGTTACGATACAATGGTAAGCTACCGTACTTGTTTTGGAACCATGCTACTCCGCTGAATAGGACTGTAACTATATAAGTTAGTGCTCTTAAGCATGTCACCAAATGACAGCGCAATTAAATATTTTTCATATAGAATCTGCGTATTACATTAAATACATACATTTATTATCAATTATTGAATAGTAATGTGCAGATTGAGCGATTATTTAAATTATGCTAGTTAGATTACATTATTGGTTGCGCTAAAATTGTGGTAATACTGCGCTTAAACCGATCACGAGTGCCCTGTATTTATGGTGCGATCAATCAAACATTTTGTTTGGTCAATTAGAGGATTAATCCTGTCTGCTGATCATTAATTTTGTCGGAGAGTAGAGCTTGTTAAGTGCTCAAGTCATCAATCAAAGACTCATTTGATGAATATTCGATGATGATTAGGACGCTAGTCTGAGAAAATGAGTGTCTGTGATCGTTATGGACACGATAATAGTGATAGCCCTAGTCGAGTCTTCTTTGTTTATAGAAAACGTTTGCTGTAGGCCAGTTAAAATTCATGACACATTTTATTGGAATAGAACATTCCTTCTATATGGTATTTCGATATAACAGGGTAAAATAGTAATCATTTTTTCTTAGTCCTCTTCACAAATATGAAAATTTAATGGAAACACATAATCGGAAATGTGTATTGTCGTTGAGGGCGCACAATTCAAAAGATATACATACATCACGTGCTAAGTGTGGGTCTTTTCACAAGGCGTTGATCGAATATCAATGTTTACGCACCTATGGACACCTACCCCTGTGTCACGTGGAGGTTAGCTACGATTGTAGCAGTTGTAGCTGCTTAATACAATATCATAAATATCATAAAATCATTATCATATGAGAAGAGATACATATCTTAAACACCCATCAGTGAATGGACCTTTTGCCACGAGGGGGGATTGACATCTAAAATACACATATTGCTAACCACTAGCGACGGTTCTGGCACCTTGGGTTGCGCCAATTTTTATGAGAATTTACCGATGGTTTGTTGAGAACTTATGGATGCGTCTATTTTCAAGAGTGACGCTTTGAGCATTTATAGATTTCCAAAAGATGTTAAAGGTGATTTGTTGAGGACCGATGGTTGCAGGTGGCGTTAAGCGAGTGCTCTTGTGTGGAGACAGGTTAATTGTGGGAGGCACGAATATTATATTAATTCGTTAATTGTTTATAAAAATAGAGGTAAGCTATTCTACAGACATATGCATCAGCCGAATGTAGTACAATTGTTTACCAGTGTGATTAATCTGCTCAATAAACAATTTTAATTACTTGTGCAAATATAAAGATGTGGGTAACCCTCATCTTTATATACGACTTTTCATGGATCTCTTTAGGGCTAGACGCGCCTAGGCGGTTGGAAGCGACGATCGAAGAAAACGGTTAAGCAAGCCAAGGACTTCGCTAACTTCCATTCCTCAGTATTAAAATCCTTCCATTGATGGTCACTGTCTAAAACTTGCTTCCAGCTTATCTCTGAAAAGATTGTAACCTTTTCGTCTGCAGTTGGCTCAACATGAATTACACAAGAGCCAGTGAGCTTCGATGACGTTCTAGGCTCGGACATGACACGTTGTTTTTTGTTGTTATTTCGCGACGTCATCAACGAGTACAATACATTCATTATCCACCATCAACTAAACTGCTTAAAGAAAACAAAATTGGTTCGTGTGGGAATCGAACACACAACCTCCATGTTTGCTATTCATTATCCACCATCAACTAAACTGCCTTAACTTACGCACTTTTTTTTTAAATAGACAAAAATGTTTGAAAAATTCATTATGCAAATTAGAAAAAAATAGACTAATCATGTTACGGGAAACCTGGTGGTTGTGTGTTCAATTCCCACACAAACCAATTTTTTTTTCTTTTTTAAAGGCCGTTTAGTTGATGGTGGGTACCGTTTAGTTGATGGTGGGTAATGAATAGGAAATAGCAAACCTGGTGGTTGTGTATTCGATTCCCAAACGAACCATTTTTTTTTTTTTGGCCCGACGTCGATAAACGTTTGAAATTTACAACCTCTAACCAACGGCCCAACTGTTGTCACCAACCTCCACTAACGTTTACCGACGACGGGCCAATAGCGTACTGTGACGTTGCGACCACGTCTATAATCAAATATAATATTTACAACCTCTAACCAACGTCGGCCAAACGGTTGTAACCAACCTCCATAATATATATAATTATAGACGTTGTCGCAACGTCAAAGTACCTTGTTGGCCCGACATCGATAAACGTTTGAAATAGATGTTGGGCACCACCGTTGGGCCGACGTTTCTTAGAGGTTGTAAATATTATGTATGATTATAGACGTTGTCGCAACATCACAGTACTCTGTTGGCCCGACGTCGGTAAACGTTTGAAATTTACAACTTCTAACCAAC